TGTTTCAGAGGTACAGGTCTGTGATTCAACAGTCTTACACAATTCACAGCGCTCACCATAGCACATACCCTCCCCAATGTCTATCACCCAGCCACCCCATCCCTCTCACCCCCCACCACTCCAGCAACCCTCAGTTTGTTTCCTGAGATTAAGAATTCCTCATATCAGTGAGGTCATATGATACATGTCTTTCTCTGATTGACTTGAAATCTCACCTAATTTTATCTCCATAATCACCATACCAGCTTATGTATTATCATTACTCCTACGTCACAGATGAGGAAACCATGGCTTAGAGAAGTGAATCTACTTGGCCAAGGTTGCCAGCTAGTAGATTACAGAGGTTTGCCATCCTATACATTTCCAACACATGTAAGAGACAATCCTATGATAACACACCCAAATGCATAGAAGACAACAATATAAATGGGAGCAGTAAAAATTATATCCAGATTATAGTAAACTGAGGTTTCTCCTAATATTTTCAGTTCTCAAACAAATTTTCTTTCTTTCTTTCTTTTCTCTTTCTTTTCTTTTCTTTCTTTTCTCTTTGCTTTCTTTCTTTCTCCTTTTCTTTTCTCTTTCCTTTTCTCTTTCTTTCTTTCTTAAGTTCTTGACTAACCAATGCTTTTCCTTTGATGTGCCTTGGGCTTTAGAATCATACAGACATAAGTTTAAATCCTAGTCCCTCACTTGCCATCTTACTACAATCCTAGGCACATTACTTAAGCTCGCTGAGCTTCAATGTTTCAATCTTTAAAGTGAGAAAAATAATATCTACCCTCCTAAGGTCATAGTAAGTATTGAAAACAAAATAACTTACATGAATTGCCTTGCTTTTTTATACTATCACTCACATATTTGTTTAATTCTTTTTATATATGTTATTCCATGTGTTCCAAAGCAACCTTCTCCTTTTGGTTTTTTTGAACTTCTCTCTTCTCTTCTTTGTAGTATGAGAACCAGGCAGCTACCAAAGAGCTTATTAAATGCTTTCCCACTAAGCATTCAAACAACCCAATTAGATCATACTTAAAATAACAAGAGCTAGCATTTACTCAGCTCTTACTGTGGCTTGGATCTAAGTGCTCCTCGTGTATTATCTAATTCTCCCAACCTTGAGGTAGATACAAGTAATCTTATTTTATAGAGGTGGTGACCAAGATCAGATAGTTTACTGAGATTAGCTGTTTGTTCAGGGCCACAAAGCTACTACTAAGAAGCCAGCCCAGGCAGCTTGCCCTCAAAACCTGTACGTGCTGTTGTTATAGATCTTTAAAATGGTAATTGTGGGGGTTATGTAGCAGGAGAAGCTACAGAAGTAAGGCTCTAAAATACAAATGTCAGATGAGCCATGTTCACCAATATTATTTGTGGAATAAATGGACCAATAAGAGAGAGGAACTCTTTTTTTCCATATCCTGCTCACTGCTATATGAGGTATTATGGTATTATGATCTGCCGTAGTAATGGGCATGAACAAGAGTTTTGCATAGTTCAGAAGCCTCCCACTTAGCAATTTGAGATCCTTTCAGTCTTAACCTGGTTTTTGTCCCTGACCTAGCTAGCCCTTTTGTAGGAGAAAATGACCAGGAATGGCTGACATGTTCAGCAACCAAAGAACTGAAGGAAAATGAGCAGTTTGAACATTAGAGACAGCAAGGAGAATTTCTTATTTGAATGCACTTAGAGTGACATTTTTTCTCTCACCTAGATTATTGCAACATGATTTCCATCAATACAATCACCTGAAAACAACAGATACCATGGAAATCGTTTTATACAGTGAAACATGTTGGTATTTTGCAGACCAATTACTTGAGATTTTAGCATGGATATTACTAGTAGAGAGGAATTGCTTTGTACTGGACTTTCCTCTTGATAGAATGTAATAAGTATATATAGATTTCCCCAACTGTTCAAAGTTATGAACTGGGACTTACCAAGGAAGGAACAATGTTTCAATATAGCATTATACTCTTACTGAATATTTTTCTTTATTTAGCTGATTCCTTTTTAAGTATTTCTAGAAGTTTCAGGGCAATAAAAAAGGAATACTCAAATCTTCAAATAAGAAAATACAATTTTATGAGCAAGTATTTTATTTCTGCTCATTCCCTGAAAGCCAGATCTATACTAAGGAAAATTCTATTTTGAACACGATCGAAACTTTATGAGTATTCAATATCCATCCCATTTCATAGATTTCAAATGGAGAGATAAACTGAAGCACAGCAGGGCTGCAAATGACATTGTTTAGATAAACATATCTTGTCAGAATTATCCTGGTAGCAGCATTAGAGGCTCCGGGCATATTTGGAACAAAGATTCTGGCTTAGGCTCTTAATAAGCAACATGGCATGTCTCAACAGACACTTGGCTTTTAAGAAAATGCTTTTTTTTTTTTTTTTTTTTTGGACCACGTGGATTAGAATCGAAATTTCCACAATACTACAAATATTCATAAAGGTATTCATTCCTAAAAGACAAAAGCTTAGAAAAACATAACTGTTCAAATTACTAGATATTAGCAGAGAGAGAAAAATCTGCCCTCAGGTCACTCAATTTCAATCTATATCCCCCCCAAAAAAGTCAATACAGTATCAAAAACAAGATTGCAAGGGATAATGGAAAATGTTTAGACAATGTTGAATGGATAGTATAAAATAAATTAGTGTTATTTTCCTCTTAGGGAAAAAATAGAAGTTATTTTTCATTAGTAAAATGACAAATGACTTTCTATATAGTGCGTTCAGATTTGCATAAACATTTTTGCCAAATTTCCATATTTCTCAGGCAAGAAACAGATCACTTAACTGTGTAATGGGAATTCAGTCTCATACTGAGTAAATCACTCACTAAATTTCATTCTTTTGGACCAGTATGTTGCAACCTGATGAAGAAGCCTCATGGTTCCAGTTTGAGGGATGAACATTCTACTACATCAATTGAAGAGCTATCTATGTTGATCATTACAAGGTGAATTTGCTCTTGCCTTGCTGGTTATACAAATGACATTTTATAACTTACACAGAACTCTACAACTTAAGTGTATTCTTCCTGTCCAAATTAGCTATGGAAGAGAATGATGAGTTTCTTACCAAACTAGTTTCTCTCCTTCTCAGGCTCAACACTGGACAATATTTTGCAGTTTCCCTTGCAATTAAATGTGGTCATGTGACAAGTTCCAGCCAATAGACCATGAACAGAATTCATGTGTACCACTTCCAGGCCTGTCTCATAATCAATTCCAATGAACAATGTTTATTCCTCATCTGTCCATTAAATGCATAGGACTCAGATGATCTGGACACAAAAGATGGAAGGGGCTTGGGTCCCTGAATGACTTCATAGAGAACTGCTTATTTTGGACTGCGCCAGAAAAAAAGTAAACTCATACTATGGTAAGCCACCAAGACTTGGGATCTGACATATAGTGGCTAGTGCTACCCAACTAATATGTTAGCATATATTCAAATACATTGTTTGAGCAACAATAAGGAGTTAAGATTTCAAAATCAAGAAAAGTCTATTTTAATTAACAATCAGGACAACTGAAAGAGGAATGTCTTTAGGAAGTGAATCAAAACATACATAATTTGCAGACCATAAAATTATTTAATCCCAGTCCTAGTGATTAAGGTCATTAAGACAAACAATAAAACAGGATGGGACATGGTAAACATTCTAGAAGGAACACAGACTTTCAAGCCAGAAACATTTGCAAATTGCAAGCTCTGGTCTTTGCTTGTTTTGTAAACTTGAGCAATTTGATTAACCTTTCTCAGAATCTGTTTCCTTGTCAATAAAATGAGGGATTATGAAATTTACCTGACAAGATATTAAAAAGATTTTGTACACATGCCCACACACACAACACCTACTATCTGCTACCTACGAGGAACTCAATGAATCGTAGCTGTTATCACTATTTACCTAATATATACAAATATGACCAATAATATTTTTCATATATTAACTCTTTATTCTGGTTACTCTTTCCGCTCCCTCAGCATACTGGCTGTAAAGCATTCTGCTTACACTTCCGGAGGCAAGTGTTAACACAAGAGAATGTAAATCATGACGACACAGATTCTTGGTTTTTGAGGTTCAAAAGCCTAGGCCTAGAAAAAGACAAAAGATTTGGAAGGAAAAAAAAAAAGATGATGAAATAAAGGATTTCCCGACTCCCACACTAGAAAAAAATTCCTCTGGTTGTGAGAAGGGATGAGAGGGGGCATGACAGGGGACATAAAAAAAAAAAAATCAGTATTGATGTGTGTCCCTGAAGGGGAGGTGGGAGAGGGAAGGGAGGAAACCTGGGGAGATGCACGAGAATCAGAGAGCAGAGGTGAACTGGGCCTCATTCCTGAGAAGAGCCTCTGAGGGAAACAGAAGGAGAGTAGTTTCCCCTTCTGCTTCCTCCACTCCTTTTCCTGACCCTATGCACAGGCACTCTGAATCACTCTGTGTAAAGAAGAAAAGAGTAGATGCAATGTCTAGGCAGATGGGCCTTCAAGAGGCTCCCGAGATTCCCACCCACTCCAGTATGGCAGAAGGAACGGTACACTGCTATTACACACTGAGGGCATCACAGCAGCAGAGGGATGTCCAGGTATGAAAGATGGTCCAGGAAGCAATTGCTTGGACCAATAACCAAGAATATGAGGAAGAGACTGACATCCCCATGGACGCTAGCCCAGAGAGACGACAAGCAAGGGGCAAATGTTCTGCCACACCATGCTCACCACACCCGCCGCTCCATGCTTTGCATCTACAGAACCCTAGACTGATGAAAAATTTCTTTCCTCTGTTCCATGGAATTACATTCAGTTATGGAAAGATAACATTATGGACTGAAAAATCTTAGTACAAGAGTTATAATTTCCAATGATTCGGCGTCATTTTTATGAATGCAACGGAGGTAAATCAACTTAAGTCATTATTGAAACTTTTCATACATCTTTCCTTAAGTTTCATATGCTTGTTAAAAGACTTACTTCGATCAGTAATGACTGTTCTAGCCTCTTGATTGCTGGTCTTGTTTTTCAAATTCTGGGCAGCGGTAATGAGTTCTTCCAACTGGGGGCGCCTCTGTTCCAAATCCTGCAGCGTCGTCTGAAGGAAAAAAATACAACTTAATATTGAGGTTCTCCAGCATTCTGCATTCCTTTTATGTGATACAAAGTAAAGTGCAATTTTCAAACCAACCAAAGCACTTTTGGGAATAAAAAAAAAAAAAAAGATGTTACTGGATATAAATCTCTAATGTGTGAGGCTTTACAGAGAACAATTCAACAAGAAATGTGTTTCATTCTTAGATACCAAAAATATTTCAAATGAAAATCTTGATTACAGATCTGCTTCACTATTTAAGAGCTTAGATGGAGTCGTTTTGGAGTTCCTGGGTTTAGTTAAACCAATGTACGAGTGCCACAAGTAAGAAATGCAATTTTGAATTACGACAATGTATTTAGAAAAGATAGCTATTTATACTTGTAATCTCATTTTGTGTGGTGTCAACATTCAGGTGTATATTTTAGCAACAGGAAAAGCATGGAAGTGATTTAAGAGAGGTAACTTATTGGGGTGCCTGGGTGGCTCAGTTGGTTAAGCGACTGCCTTCAGCTCAGGTCATGATCCTGGAGTCCCGGGATCGAGTCCCGCATCGGGCTCCCTGCTCAGCGGGGGGTCTGCTTCTCCCTCTGACCCTCCCCCCTCTCATGTGCTTTCTCTCATTCTCTCTCTCTCTCAAATAAATAAATAAAATCTTAAAAAAAAAAAAGAGAGGTAACTTACTGAACTTCTTTGTACCTGAGTTTCCTCACCTATGAAATGACAGGGTGAGGCAGATGAGCCAAGTCAGTCCTTCCCCAAAGGAAGTATTAGTATTAGTATTCATACAGATGACTTTAATTTAATACTGCATTAAGATAAAAGTACCAACAGAACAAAGCCAAGAAATATTTATTTATTTATTTATTTACAGGTGACAATGTTAATTATTAAGAAATCCCTCCCTCCCTCCCTCCAGTGTCCATCTATTATCTCTGCCACCTTACTTTCTCTACATTAAAGGGCCCATATCCCAGCAATATTTACAAAGAAGCTTGTGAAAAATAAGATCTCTCCCTTGTTTTCGTTCTAAAATGGAATACATTTTATTTCAATTTGGGAAAACATAATGAACATTTGTTATTAGTTTATAACCCCTACACACATTTTCTCATTTTTATTCTCCTAATAACCACACTAATAACTAAGCTAGAAGTCTTTACGGTCTTATATCTGATGCCGTTTCCACTGCCTCATGAGGCCAGTGAATGTGAAGGGATGAAATGGGGTAGACAGTAATGTTCCTGAAACTTAGTTATCTATTATGCTCTTTGACAACTGCTAATTTTCTGAAGATTTTTGGGTTGAGAAAGGCCAAGTTTTGAACATCTTGCAGTGTTTCTTTCGTGAACAGGTAGGGAGATAGGCCTTGTGATTTCAGCTCAATTGCTTTTGATAGTATTAAAATAATGGCAAGAACTTATCCAAATATTACATATCTATTTTGAGTATTTTCCCCTCTCTGTATTGAAAAATTGGAGGGGCTAACTTTTAACCAATTTTCCACATTTATAAGCTGTGATTGCTCAGAAGAAAAATCCAATTTTCAGGTTTCTAACTTTTATGGTTTCTTTACACAAAAGGGTGTTTGAAATATGGAACAAATTGCCAAAGACAGCTATTGAAGTAAGTGGCATAAGTCAGTTGGAGAGTACTGAGCAAATTTTAAAATGGGAACCATATAGTAGTAGATAGATTTTATGAAATAAGATGTTTTCCAGGGTTAGAATGTTAAACTCTGGTCATCTGTGACACAGCAAGCTTAAAAGTTACTTTGGAATTCCTGACTCTTAAATATTTAATACATTCAAGAGATTTTTTTTAAAAACAGACTTAACCAGAACCCTCAGATAAAGTCAAATATTTCCTTCAAATTTAACCAGAAACTCTACATAACTGAGGTAGCAAAGTACAAAAATTCATTCATTTACCCATTCATTCTTTCATTTTGTAAATCTCAAGTGCTGCATATTGTTCTAGGCACTACGGGTTTAACAGTGGATGAATGGATTAGGTATGCTTTGTGTAATTTAAATGCAAATTTGTGTTTTTTGATACTTGGAAATTTTTATATAACAAAGATTATCTTTATCATTATTTTCATTTGATTTAATATTAATTCACCCTCAAACAACCAAGCTATTCTTCGCTTTTCTTTTCTGGATATATTTCTCAATGTGGGCTTTACTTTTCTCCTTCTTTTAGGATCACAAAGTTCGTTTAAGAAGTATGTTGTAGAAGTAACCTGATCAACTTTAATCTAAATTAAACCTGACCACAATGAACAGCTTTTACTGCTGAAATTAGCAAGCACGTCAATTTAGACTTAACACAAGCCATTTTCCTCTCTAATGAACAAAATAGGTCTCAGGGTATTGTGAAACCTGTTCTCTAGTTGGGTGATTCTCTAATTCTGCTGACAGACACATGCTTTGTAAGCACCTGAGAAGATTATTAATGACATCCTTTGAGGCAGCCTCCTTAAAAACCTAAGGAGATTCACAACTGTAATAAAACTATGCATTTCTAAAGAATTTCAAAACAAAATCGTAACTCTTTATCCCACTCTTTCGTCAATATGTACAAAGGTTCATTTCTAAAAAGAAACTGTACAATAATAATATATATTGCTTTGGGATTTATCAGACACTAATATACTCATTAAATAGTGGTTTCTCAGTAGAGCGGAATGGGAATTTTCTCCCTTGGTTTTCTTTCAGAAATAAAGGGAAGGACTTGAATATGGCATATTTAAATATTTTTTTATTAAGATATTATAAAAACAGTGACTGAAAGACTTTCTTGCTAATGAACAGAACACACATGCAGTGAACAGAATGATTACTTTTTTCTTTTCATTTGGTTTTCTTTTGAGTATATTCTATTTGCTATTATAATTTCTCTTACCTGACAGTTGGTTTTATAACCTCCCAAAGACGGGAGAACACCTTAGATCTAATCATTAAAGTACCCACCTCCAAAATACCCATCTATGAAACTGTGTTCTTTGCCCCCATCTGGTGTTCTTATCAGATGCTTCTCTCTCCAGAACACTCTTTCTACTCTAATCCTCATCTTCAAATGACCTCCAGTCCTCTTCTTTTGCCCAATGTCCTTGTTCAAGCTGTAGTGGTCTATATTTGTCATGCTAAACAGGTAGAATGCTATTTATGCTTATTTGTTTTTCTGATAGGAGCCTAGGTAGACATTACACATATAACTTAAGTGAACAAAACTAAAATCATTACATGCTTAACAGTACCAAAGCATGATAATTGAGCATGTCTACATGGATTCTATCGTTCCGAAAGAAACAAACACGAGAGCAGGAAGGAATCAGTGCTATTTCTAAGGGGTCATAGGCCAGCTACTGGGCTTTACTAAAAACAGCTTACCCCTTGGAGATGAGAATTCATCATGGATTCCACTAGCTGAACAAAGATGGAAGAAAAAAAAAATCTTCAAATACAAAGTGAATCAGAAGTCATTAATCCTACTAAGTCCCCCCAGGGTTGAAGGAACTGGTTATAAATAGCAATCCTATGAAAAAAGGAGTTAAACAATGAAACTATATATGCTCTAAGTAGGTCATTTTAGGCTCTCAGAAAGAATTACACTTTTTTATTGTATTTGGTAAAATAGAATTCTACCTAAATAATACTCAAATAGAAAACTCTATGGTTTAGTTGAATATTTAATATTTATATGTTTAAGGAAAGACCTTAACAACGAACTCTTTACATTTTTAATATTTTCTACAAGAATCAGCAATCTTCACATAGTTATATTTAGAACAAAAGCCTACAGTGATTTTCAGTTGTTGCCATTTTCAGGACACAAACATGACTTAAGCTTACCCATAATGTAAAAATGTAGACCTTCTACTCTTTTATTCACAACCTTAAAAAATTAACATCAGGGGGCCTGGGTGGCTCAGTTGGTTAAGTGACTCCTTCAGCTCAGGTCATGATCCTGGAGTCCCAGGATTGAGTACTGCATCAGGCTCCCTGCTCAGATTTTACAGATTAAATAAATAAAATCTTAAAAAAAGGAATATAAAATATTAAAAAAATTAACATCAAAGATGGACAAGATGAAAGTTTACTTAACTACTTTATGGATGGGAAAAAAAAAACATTTAAGGCAGGTAGGCCCTAAACTGTAGCCGTTCTAGACACTGAAGGAGTTTTCTCTATGAGGATGCTACTCCTATGTCTAGCCTCACTAAGCACCTTCATTCCGGCTTCTTTCCTTGCATTCGGCTGCCCCTCCAAATAGATTGGCCAAATCCAAAGCCATCTCTATTTCTTCCACTCCCTCACATTTACATCTTAAACTGGCTTGGTTATTTTCCTACTTGGTATAACTTCACTACTTCTTATCTGAATGTTCTACCAGCATCTCTGTTGCTAACTTCTTCATAAACACCTTCTAACTGTGGTTATCCTTTTGTCCTCCATTCATTAAAGAAATACTTTTTGAGAAAGCATTTTATTTTTATATAATTTAAAACTCACAGAAAAATTACAAGAATGGTTCAAGAGCTCCCATGTATCCTTTACCCCGATTCACCAGTTGGCAACATTTTGCCACATCTTTATTTATCACTTCCCACTCTATCATTCTCTCTGTGTATATATATCTGTACATACAATATAATAGATATTGTTTTCTGAAGCACTGGCGAATCATCTGCAGCTACCGTGCCCTTTACCTTTCGATATTTCAGTGTTTATTTCTTAAGAAAAAGGCACTCTCTTACATAACCTCAGCCCAATTTCAAAGTCAGGAAATTTCCTATGGCTTTAGTTCTATAAATCCAATCCACATTCTTTATTCATAGTATGACAATTATCCCATGAATTGCCTTTTATTTACTGGTCCAGACTCAGGCATTGCATTTAGTTGTCATATCTCTTTAGTCTCCTTTAATCTGAAATAGTTGCTTGCCTTTCTTTGAACTTCATACTGTTGACTGTTTTGAAGGCCAGGTATTTTGTAGA